ATCATGAGAAAAAATTAAAAGAGGTAGTTAGAGCAACGAGCTGAGAAAATAAGCCACAGAAGAAATACATAAATAACAAAAACAACAAAAACCACTCTTAAAAAAATAAATCATAAAAACGAAGTACTCGATTAAGATAAACAGCAGCGATAACAATTTGAAGAGAAACAGGAAAGAGGGTTCAAATATGTATTAATAAATTATGAGCTCAACAACCTCTCGCGACATTAGAATCAGTCACATACCGTGTTTTAAACCCCAGTAAAAAAAACTGTCAAACTAAAAACCTTGGGGGCGGCATTTGATTGCAGCCCCAGGAGAGCGGGGCTGATTGTAGTTTGCTTCACTGATATCAGTTTCTATAGAAAATTTCGTCCTCATTAGTATTCTTTATATAAAGAATACTAATAAAGATGACTTTTCACAAAACAGTTATAAAGAAGTGAAATAGTGGAATGGCCAGCTTTATATTAGCATCCAATGCCCCCCTAAAGGTGTGGAACCTAAAACTGAAGAAAGTGAACAAATTTAGAACGTTTAGAGAGAGTAAACTTTCAAAAGTCCAATTCCTACAAAATTCCTAACTGTTATCCATCTTGCCCATAAACATGACTGCATTTCATTGATTAAAATTCTCGAACACTGTATACCAGAACAGATACTATAAAGTTCGTAGAGGGTAAGTCTCTCCTGTGTCTTTGCATACCTCCATGATGAACGTCGTCAGCCAAAACTTTGGAGACTCTGCCGTCATGTCGCAAATGTTCGTTTCTAAATCTTGAAATTTAGAGGCTAGTTTTCGCAGCAAATCCGCTTTCTTACTGACAGGCTTTCTTCTTTGTTCTCCCCGCCTGCCTGCCATTCCCCAAAAATCTTTATCGCCATTTATTTACCGAACGGGTCGACTTTGGGACTACATGTCCCAGTATTTCACTTTCTTCCTCCGCGCTTTTTGGCTCATGAAACCTTCGGTTCCAAGCCATGTGATTATTGGTGTGTAATGAATTGTTCATACAGCCCCAGAACACGCAATGATGATTCTCACAATAATTCCTAGGGCGACTCTACATAATGCGTGCTAGCATCTTTAAATTCATTTGTGCAACACGACATTAAAATTATCGCACTAGTACGCTAAACCAAAAATTATCGCACAAGTACGCTAAACCAAACGAGTTCGCATATTCCCTTGAGGCGTCGCCCTCGGGGTTTTATAACCCGATAAAACACTCCCGCTTGTTTATAAAACAGAACTTGTCAAACAACGAAAATATAAACCGAAGTGAATTTAATCGCTAAAAGTTTAACATGGTTTCTTGTCATAATATTTTTACTTTCTATGCGGACTATTCCCGTTTTCGAAATAATCACCAAATTCCTTAATAATGATTAATAACTAAGCTAAGAATGAAACGATCCTACAATAGCTTTGTGTGCGATCTTTTGACGAGAACGAAGCTGCCTTTAGCACTTCGTGATTTCTAGAACTGTTTCGTTGTTTGTTTATTTGTTTGTTTGTTTGAAGTAGCCTGCAAATTACACATTGCCACAGGCAAAACCCTAAAATTCTATTCTGGGTAGGTCACAAGAGTACAATAGGCTCGGACTTCAACAGTAAACTTCAGATAGTTTTAAACTTGGTGCATTTCGAGGTTCCTTTGAAAAACGGCACTGATTTTTAGCTTTTACATGTTAAATGTCATTTTTGGTGAAAAGCCACAGGAAGTTCAACATTTGCGATCGACCTTTTAGCTAGGCGTGGAAGGCTCTTGCAGAATATTGACAATGGTATTGGTACGGATGGAAAAACAAATTTCAACCCCAAACTGGCGAATTACAAGCAATAAGGACCAAAATGTTTTACGATAACGTAGCAAAGCATGATTTAAAAAGGCAACGGAGGAACTGATTAAAAAGCTGTTTCACAAGCTAAGGTGTGGCCTGGAAATTTGGACCGAAGCATTCAGAATGAAACATACAAAGGGGTTTACTCGCTGAAGTTCATTTCAGATCAATTCACACAGAAAGAATTAAGTTTCTAGTGTTTACTAAATTTAGACAGGTGAAGGTTTTATTTGGCTCAGATAAAAGTGGAAACGCAGAATCGAGCTTCAAATGCGTTAGAACAAAAACCAACTTGGTTTTTGATGTCAAGATGAATTTAAAAGCCCCAAAATTTGAATAATATTTCTTTCGCTTTATGATGCAATTTGCTGAGCTCATTTTCTGAGAAAGTAACGAACGAGTCGCAACCAGAATAGACTGTTCGGGGTATGGTTCGTAATTTCTCGATTAATTATCATTTCGACTGACAGACTCGTTGGAAAGCTTTGCATTACTGTAGGAGAACACCGCTTGGAAGTAACATGAAAAAAAATAGAAACTGACGTTGTAACTTACCAAAACTAAGGTTTACTCCACAATCGGTCCGCAGTGAGATTTGCGGGTAGAAAATGTAATCGCAAGACCAGACGAAAAGGCTTTATGCTCACTGGAAATAGAAAAAGGAGGGCAATGAAATTTGTGTCTAAAACTCATAGGAATAAATTGTTTTCATAGTCGTGTTACCTCTCAGAGCCTGGTGGTTAACCGAAAAAACACCTCCTTTGCCTTTTTATTTAAGAGCGTGTCCACGAGAAAACCAGCAGAACCGGGCGGGGGCGATATGCTCAAATCATCGATTTGATTCAAACTTGGCACAACTGCTAAGTATCACGAGCCAACAAATGTGTGAAAATAATAGGTCAAAATATTTCATTCCCTGGGGTCCCAGGGAGAAAACCCCCATTTTCTGTATTTTTTGCATAATTAATTAGCTATCTTTGCATTGCTGCTGTGACAAAGTGAAAAGCCATCTGCAAATTCAATCAATTGCGTTGTGTTCTAAATCTATCGGACTTCAAGAAAATTGATTTTTTTTAACTTTTTCATCTCATTTCATTCCTCTGGTTATGACAAAGTCCAAAAATAGGAGTATTTTAAGGCCCAATACCTCCGATGACCAACTCCTTCTGATGATAATTCCTACGTGAGAAGTGAAAGCCATTACTGAACTTCGCCAAAATCAGTAATACAATTTTTGGGAAACTCGTTTCATTGCCCATGCTGACGTGAAATTTATATCTAACTAACCGCTTTTTGTCTGTATCATCAAAATTCCGTAAACCACATCTTTGTTTTATAAACTTAAAACTGACTTGAAATGTTTAAGATTTTTCTTAGAAAGTATGGATGTATTAGGAGAGAATCTTCGGAATAGCACAAGTTGAGCCCTTTTTGAGGATATTTTCGCAGCCATATCTGGATTACTCTCGAGTAAACGCAGTAGTTGATGAAGAGCATCAAGGGCGCATTTAGTCGAACTTTTTGACAAAAGAAATCTAGGAAGAAAATTGACATGTCTCTGTGGTGCCTTAGCTGCAACTATCGGCTTGATATCATTTGTTTGAAGTGCTTCGTTAAACGGGGTTAGAGCTCTCGGAAATATCGATCAAAATTATCTGTCTTGTTCTGTTTGCTACTAATCGACTTACATGATATGTGTTGGTGGAAAGAAGATTATTTGATGCCCTGAAAGCTTATGTTAATCAAAAGGACAACCCGCCATCTTTGATCACATCGAGCCTGCAGTTTTATTGAGCGGTCAACTTTGATATTAATTTGGCATGTCATATCTTACTTTGTGTGAGATAAATTACTGCCAAAATATTTGAGTTTTTAATTGTTAAGCTTGAGTTAGTTGCTGGTTCATCGAAAAAACATAACAAAACAATGGTATCAGGGTCTCCTCTCAGTATAAGGAAAAAGAAAATGGTGAAAAACTGATCCGTTTATAGAAATCTCTTACATATTTTATTTGAGGTTTACTGCTTACATTTGATATGTAATCTCTTGCTGTCTGCTGTTATATCTGGCTTTTAGTCGAGATGTACCTTAGAAATTGCTCCATTGCAAAAGTGCGAATTTTTAATAATAGGAGTGAGAAAAGGGGAGGGGGTCAACGATCAATTTCGTGGTAAGTATCAGACAAAAGTAGTTAAAAAGAATAACTGAACGTCCACATTAAATAGCGCTCTCTACTGCGAGGATCGTGCATCATACTATCTAATACCGCAGTTCAAAATATATGAACTTCATATAAATCCACCATTGTTAAAATCAAAACACGTGAAAAAAATCCTCCCTAGCACGTAGACGCTTCTACTTTTCTTAGTGATTCCAGAAGGGCAGAGAAAAAGATCAATAATGCTCAGATCGGTTACGTTCCAGTTTTTCTCGTGGACACGTTCTTAAATGCATGACAAACAAACTTCTGCGGAAAACACAAAACAAAAAAAGAACAAAAGAAAAAACAAAATAATGCACCATTTAAAAGCTCAACGGAAGCTTGGAGTAACGTCATGTCCTTCTAACCTATCGCATGGGCCAGAGATTAATTATTGTATAGAATCTTTCATGCAAGTCTTCTAGAACAATGAAAAATTTCATCATATCTTCGATGCAAGCACGTTGAATGTAGATCCAAAGTATATTTGCAAGCTTTTCTACCTTAGTTTTCAGTCTATACACATTGCGAACGGAAAATTATTCTTAGCCAAGAACATATGTATGTCGATCAAATGTCTTCGTTCTCTTTCAAGGGCACCATTGATTGAAAACACAGAACGCGAATGAAAACCGTATTCTCAAATCATTTAAAGTGTACAGGAATTTTCAGTGTCAAGATGCTATACACTTCGAATTCTTTGCTGCACCATTGAACTGAAAGAGAGAAAAGATAAAGCCATTCGATTCCATTATTTAGCACATAGACATATTCAAAGCAGAATGGTCTTCCAAACTGTCCAAACCAAAATTTCTGATAGATGTTTCAATTAATTTCTCTCGCACATTTTGCATGACGGCAACAGCGGGTCAAGGTTGGGAACCCTTGGAGAGAAAGATGGCCGTCCGGTTAAGTTAGAACACATACACTCACAGAAAGAAAAAAAAAGCGAAGATTTCATACTTTTAAAAGTCACCACGTGTTTACATTTTATTGAGATGCTGTTCAGTGATATTTCCAGAAATTCTTAAACTTTGCACTAGTGCTGGTGCGTCACTAACAGGGCTTAAGCCGCTGTAAGGGAAAAGCAATTAGGCCCTCATGTGACTTGGCTATACTTACTAAGACTAGCATTAGCTATATAAGCTTCGTATCATTTTGACGTTGCTGTTGCTGTGCTGCATATATTTTGTAAAGTTTGTCACAAGTACTCATAATGAACACTTCATATGTCTCACTACACCTGAAATTGTGCGTGAACTTTACGATGTCTATAAGGCTTTTGTGCAAGTTTATAAGGTGTTGAAATAACGAGAGATTAAAACGAAGGGCTGTTTTGCTGTAACAGGCAAATTTGAGCGTATTTTGACTTCACAGTTGCGGCAATTGAAATTAACCTTGACACTAAAGTAAAAGCAAAAATCTGATTAACTTTGAAAATGCTATTGATTCCTACCATCATCTCAAGAAAAAGCCGATTGATCATTTATTTGCTTGAAAGAAAAAAGTGAATGAATGGCTTACTCAACATCCACAACTCAACTAAACCTTATCAAGTTGCTTCATGGGTCTCATTATTCAAATGGAAATTTCTTAACTAAACCATAACATGCGCTCGTTTGCGCAACACAGCTTATTTGTGTTTGGAGTTTAGGTGACCACGTGCAGATCTCCATTTTGTGTGTGCTTGTTGCGACGGCGAATGACAAGATAGACTGTAGCGCAAATGATAGCTACAGCCACAACACCACAAACTGCCCCAACAATTGCTACTGTCTGGAAAGACTGGCTGGTCTCCTCTTGGTTTTTAGATGCAGCTGAAATGAAGCAAATTTATTTCATATCAATAATTCAGTTGAACTATCGAGGGTGTAAGTAGATAATGATATCAGAGATTAAACCGTTCAGTTTTTTTTTTAATTAAGGCGGAGTAATTGAGAATATATGGAAGGGGACATGTCCATAGCTTTTATATGGAGGTTTTTATCAAGTCTTGGTTAATTGTCTATAATCTTCGTTACGCTATATGATGTTACATATAGTTCATTTGATAGCATATATAAAATGTTCAAGTTAGCTTCCAGATTCTCCAAGGTGGCCGGTGCGGCCTCTATCGGTCTAACTTGGTCAGTTATCACGGGAAACTAGTCTTGGCCGGTAAACAGGGAATGTAAAAAGCACTTAATATAACCCCTGTCTCTTAGCTAAAAGTCTTGTGAATTATCATTTACCTTCATCTTCGTTCGGTTGTTTCTGCTTAAAAGTGAATGGACCGGAAACAACATGGTGAAGCCGCGACTCGTCCACTGAATCATAGACTGAACGACGACGTCTACGCGAAACATCAGTGGATGGAACACCTACGCATGAGGCAGCATCATCTGGACATTCACAAGCAGTATTGGCTCCATCTGCCAAGCAAACTCTGAGATCGCAGTGGATGTAAACAGTGGCTCCTTCAGCGGCTCCAAAATACCGATAAGTTTTGAGTGAGAATGTTTCCGTGATGCTGTCGTCGGTACAATTGTATAATAATGTGTCGCTGAGATCTTCACTGACACCATCGCTGCCACAACTAGGCAAGAAATGATAATAAATGGTGTAAGAAAGTAGTGTAAACATAATTCCTCTTACTTTCGAGGTAACAAATTTTATCTAAAATGGAGAAGAGCATAGAATTCCATAGCATAGAATTCCATAGCATCAGCTACATATTCTATCCAGAGTTGATACCAGACACACAGCATGCAAGAAAAGTTTCCTATGAAAACTACAACGGTAGGTTTTAATTGAGGTTTTGGGAAGGCTAAGGCTTACCATTTATTGGCAAGAAACTGAAAAAAAAGAACGTGAATGAGATTCATTGTTCAAGGTGAGCCCTACTTCTTTTAGAACTAGCTCATGTTTGATCAATAGTCTGACAGTCTCACAGAAACTTATAAGACTGTCTCAGTCCATCTGGGGTATATACTGACGGCCATTTTCCACCGAGATTAAGAGCTACAGGGAGTAATAACGATACAGTACCAGACAGTTCAAGACAAATAGAGGATATTACAAGGCTGCGCGGGGATACGAATTTTATCTTCGAGTATCTCTCGCGAGTAAGCGAAGCGAACGAGTGAGAGATACTTTCAGCACGAGAAGATAAAATTCGTATCCCCAAGCGGCCGTGTAATATTCTGTTCAGTTTTATAGATAATGAAATTTCCAAATAAAACACAACTTTTTTTTATTCTTTTTCGAAACAGCAAAATAGTGCAATTAAAGTGGTCATCTATCGCAAAATGCCTGTCATAACAATGTTATGAAACTTGGATATAAAGTTACAAAGGAGAAATAAAGACAATAATACTTATATTTTCTGTTCTAACAAGTCAAAATTCTAAAGAAGAAGAGAAAAATTCTACAGCAGTAAAAGTAACCATGTTAGTAACCATGGCGAGACTATTATCCTCACACGTGAAAGATAAAAATAGTATCTTCACTGCGCGCGACGAAGTTATGATTTTTAGCAAAAGGTAAAATCCTGGTATTTCATTGGTATCTAGTATAATAATAGTGTCTAGTCTTCTTCTAAATTATTTGAAAATTAATTATAATTGTTATTGTCATTGTTATTACCATTATTATATTTTATTCGTGTTTGATGGGCAAACTGATATCACAAAAATTCTTACCCGTTGGTTATTAGAGTGAATCTACCATCAGTAGAATCTGGATCATAGCTTTTTGATGAATTACAACTCACGGGGTACAGGTCAAGGTTTGGTGCGCTGCTTTGAGTCGTGACTTCAGCTTTGAAGTAAATGTCTACATTCAGATCAAGAGGGCCGGTGACCGGCACCGTATGTGCGGCGTCTGTAAACGCGTTGAGAGAAAATGTGAATTCTCCGTCCGCTAAAAGTTGACAAAAAAGAACAAAAACAGCGAGTAAGGATGAGTGAAAAAGAAAAAGAGAGAAACAAGATCTGACAAACGCAAGGCTACCTTGTTATCAAATTAAATGAAGCGAAGTCGAGATATTTACTTAATGATAATAGCTCCCAAATTAGAACTTAAGTCCTCCTGTGGCAGTCACAGATTATTGAAAATGACGAAAACAAAAGCATTTTAAAATCCAAATCCCTACAAGGTAGTTGATGACAACAACTGTTTTTGAACCAGCAGGGACTAGTAGTCAGTTAGCGTAAAGGATGAAAAGCAAAACTTTCTACATTACAAAACGAAGTATTCCGTCACGTTTTTGTTATGAGATATTAAAATCAAATCAAACATGTCTTGATATGAAGATTATTTGTTCCTTTTTTCTTTTCCATCAACCACTGAAGGAAGGCTAGCCAATACATTTGGTGGCAAACCGGATTTGATAGAGGAATCTCCCTTTTGCAGGAATTCAAACTAAGATTAACTAAATTAAATTAAACATGCTGTTATCTAGATCAGAGCCGTATACCTGTATCGTTATCTACTCGGTTCTTGATCGGCACAAAACTCGCTGTAGCACTGCCTGTGTTATTGTAAGTACACGTGACGTAGTACTTGTGGTCGTAAGCGCGCAACTGGCCTGTACCACCAGGATCAGATTTTTCAGCGTTTATTCGGAGTATGTAAGTAATGTGTGTAGCATTCTGGTTTGACTCTAAAGTACAGTTGGGGAGGGGGAGATTTCCATAAGTAACTGTATCAGCACCAATTGTTGGTTCACACTCTGCATAGCCTGTCTTTGTGGTCCACTCATTTGGGACCCATTCTCCTGCATCATCCACGTTTGAGATCGATATATTCACAGTGTGATCGGCGTTACAAGTCACAGTGGCATGCGGCCCCGAGTGAGAGGCACCTGATTGAGAGTAGAAAACAATTTTTAACTCCAGCTCTTTCATTTATGATAGGTAATTTAATAACACATCCTATTTAGTTATAGTTGTAAGAAAAGAGAGACTTTGTAATGATAAAATGTTAACGAACCCAAATCAAATCGGTGAAGAAATCGCAGATTTCAATTCTGTTATTTCGTTATTTCTATTCGTAAAGCTTTCATATAATCGTCAAATCATGAAACCCACGAAGAATGATATATGATAATCACAATTTTGGAATCAAGACTCATACAGACGAAATGACTACGTTACCTTTTGTTGGTTGCAAAACAAGTATAAATACCGCCAAAATAATTGCCCTCTTCATTTTGATAATTAGTTTCTCTTGGATCTGCGGCAAGAAATAAAAAAATAAATAGATAAACAAAGAAATAAATAGACGAAAAGAAATGTACAAAGTTGTTGAAACCCCAGCGAAAGTAGAAATAATTTATTGAAAAAGAATTAGTGATGGTACAAGAGGTGATCATGAGAATGAGAAAAAAAGAGGTAATAACAGCAACGAGAAAAAGAGCAACAGAGAAGAAATACCTCATTAGAAAAAAAAAAACAAAACAAATCAACAAAAGACACTCATTAACAAAAATAAACCACAAAAAAACCAAGTAGTTGATGAAGATAAATACCAGCAATAACAGTTTAAAGAAAAACATGGGTTGTAAGAACAACGAAAAAAAACCAACATGACTTTTTTCGCTCAAAGTTTAACATGGTTTCTTTTTATAATATTCTTGCTTTCTTCGGCGGACTATTCCCGTTTTCGAAATAATCACAAAATTCCTTGATGATTAATGATTGATAACTATGCCAAGAATAAAACAATTCCACAATAGCTCTCTATGTGATCATTTGACGAGAACGAAGCCGCCAATATCACGTCGTGATTTCTAGYACTGTTTTGTTGTTTGTTTGTTTGAAGTAGCTTACAAATTACACTTTGCCACAGGGAAAATCCTAGGATTCTATTATAGGTTTGTCTCAAGAACACCTTAGGCTCGGACTTCAACAGTAAAAATCAGATGGTTTTAAACTTCGTGCATTTTGAGGTTCCTTGGAAGAATGGCACAGATTTTTAGCTTTTACATGTTAATTGTCATTCTTAATGAAAAGCTACAGGAAGTTCAGTATTTATGATCGAACTTTTAACAAGGCGTGGAAGGCTCTTGCAGAATATTGCATTAACAGTAGTATTGCTAGGATGGAAAAACAATTTTCAACCCAAACTGGTAATGATACAAGCAATAAGGTAGCAAAACATGATTCTAAAAGGCAACGAAGGAAAAAAAAAAAAGCTGCTTCACATGCTAATTAAGGTGTGGCCTAGAAATTTGGACCGAAGTATTCAGGCAGAAACATGATTGGGAACACTAAGTGGTTTGCTCGTTGAAGTTCATTTCAGATCTATTCACAGACGAAGAATGAAGTTGCCAGCCTCAACTAAACTTAATGAGGTAGGTTGTATATCGCTTTGATGAAAGTGAAAATGCAGAATCGAGCTTGAAATGCGTTAGAGCAAAATAGCTTGGTCGCGCCGTTAGAAATGCGCCTCGTCAAATCTCAAGACAAACTTAAAAAGCCCAAAAATTTGAATAATTAAGGATTCTATTTCTTTTGCTCAAGATGCAATTTGCTGAGCTCAATATTTTCTGAGAAAGTAACAAACGAACCGCAACCCTCAGGACGCACTGTTCTGGGTAGGGTTCGTAATTTCTTGATTGATGGTCACTTCGACGTTGGCAAAATTTCCTTTTGTCGAAGATAGGAATTCACCAACTCGTGGGAAAGCCTCGCATTACTGTAGGAAAACATCGCTTGGATGTAACTCTTCATCTAGAGCACATAAAAAAATAATAAAAACTGGCTTTGTAACTTACCAAAACTTAGGTTTACTCCACAATCGGTCCGTAGTAAGATTTGCACGTGAAAAATGGGATCGCAAGATGAGAGGAATGACTTTACACTCACCGGAAATAGTAAAAATAAGGCAATGAAAATTGTGAATAAACCTCCTAGGAAATAATTGTTTTCACAGTCGTGTTACCTCTCAGAACCTAGTGGCTAAATGAAAAAATGCCTCCCTTGTCTTTTCATATAAGTTCGTGACTAACAAAACCGCAATGCGGAATACGTAACAAGAAAGGAACAAAGGAAAAAAAGCAAAACAAAAGAATACGATAGTTCACAGTTTAAAAGCTCAACTGAAGCATAAACAAGCGTGAAGTCTATCTTATTTATCGCGTGGGCCAATGATTCATGATTGTGTTGAATCTTTCATGCAAGTCTTCTAGAACGCCAAAAAGTTCCATCACATCTTCTATGAATGCACGTTGAATTTAGATCCCAAAGCTTAATTGCTAACTTTTCTATCTTCATAACATTTGTCTAAAATTTGTCTAAACTTGAAAACAGCAGACGATGATTTCAGCTACAATGCTTTATCAGTCCCAGAGCAAACTTTCCCACTTGTTAACTTAGTTAGTTAAGTAACCTTAACTGTTGCTATGCGATAAATATTGACTCTGTTGCTAATTCTGGAAGAGACTTACCGAGTGAATAACTGAGTTATTTCAAAGGCATTTCCTTCGTGAAAATACGAAAAATGTGTAGAAGGATTCGAGAATTGTGTTACTCATGGCCTGAACCAAAATTTAGATAGAATATGTTAAATTTCGCACCAAATTTGTGAACAGCTTTTAGAAAATTAACCTTCATACAATAATGAAAACATTTGTTTAAGAGTTCAACCTAACTACAATAAAGTTTGAAACTAGTGTTTAAGTAATAAACTGGTCCTAATATGAAGGAAATTTGACAGGACACTTATTAAAGAGAGAAAGCGGAAAAATGATAATTATAAAATGATTGTTCATTATAACAGTTACAGACAAGAACTACCCCGTGGCACTCCAAGAATCTCTGTACAAGAAATCTAAGGTGATACAATCACTTTCTCTTCTTTGCAATTGATACGGTGTACTTGTGTCAAACCGAAAAACCATACTAGTTGTATCTATTGACGATAATAACGGAAGGAGTGACCGAGTAGTCATAAGATCATTTCATCTTAATTAAGCTTTGTCGCGAAAGGTTAATTCTATATACTATCTTTGAAAGAGGTTATATTTATGTCCAACTAACCTTTCCTACAGTTGAGGGAAACTATGGTGCTCCGTTGACGGGTGGTATTACATGTTATGTTTCTGTAGTTGACGTTTCGAGCGTTAGCCCTTTGTCTCAGTTGACTAAGGCGAACGCTCTATAAATGTTGGAATTAGGTATTATTTACATTCAACTCAGTTGATAAAACCAAATTATCATGGCATTCCCCACAGATTCGACTGCTTAGTGGATAAATTCTTCTTATTTCAGTTTTACAAAGGAGAAAGCTGTCGTTATTACAGTTCCAATATCGCATTGCATAATATTATGAGACCTATGGCCATTCTTTTAGCACGGAGAATCGCATAATGCTATAACGTCTATGCTCCAAGCTCTTTTGTCCTTTTGAGAATGACACGCAGACATTTAGATCTGATTATTTAAACAGAGTTTATCCGTTGTTTAACAAAATTGCGTCCTAAATAATCCTCGATTTAGCTGAACCTTTTTCTGAACAGTTATGTTTGAGAGCAATGTTAAGGGGGTCGAAAACTAACAGTGGAAGGACATAGATTTAATTAGATCAACGATCTCCTAGAGAAAGCCTGAAACCCACTAATTGCGTAAATCAGAACTCGTGTAGTTAACCGCGTAGGTTATCTCCAGCGTCAAACTGACAAATATTTATATAGGCACACTTCTACAGATTTGACTGCTCAGGGAAAAAAGTTTCTGACGATACAATCAGATTAGCATTTGATTTTTTATACAAAAGAAAGCTTTCGTGACTACAGTGATAATGTCACCGTGCGTAAAAAAT